TTTGGTTGGTTGGGGGAAGGGGGCGGCGCGTTGTTTAAAGGGGGACAAAGGGAGGAGTTGTATTCACTGAACATACTCAAGTCCAAATTTCTCAGAACGTACTCGAATTCAATTTGATACAACAGTGCACAAACCCATATTGACCACAATCAAACTCGGCGACAAATTGAATCCTACTGACGTTGTCGTGTGAGTGGTTAACGGGTGCTCTGGTGTGGTTTTCTCCTTCTTTGCTGCCAAACAAATGTCGTCCTTATCTCCCCTTTTCATCCATTTCTTTGTATGTTCCTCTCAAGTAACACATATAAATTATATGATCTCCGTCACTTATATGAGAGCTATTTGTGTTGAAAGTGCTGTAAAACTGTTACTAAAAAACACTTAAAAATGAAAAAAAACCTATGTTGCCGTGAATCTCCTTTCAACGTGCCTGCCAATGGTGTACTTCCTGTTGTCCAGTAAACCACTCGCTGTGTCTGCCGTAAGGAGGTTATATATATATTTAGAAAGGTCTTTGGTCTGCCACCACGAATCTACGTCCGGTAAGCCACTGACTTCCGTCGGTCGGCCCCATGCGTCTCCCGTCCCCCGCCGATAAGTCCGGCAATCCGGCCCGCCGCAACAGACTCTCGTGCCTCTGGCGATAGACTAGACTCTAGATCTACGTCAGTCTGCGGACTACCACAAAGACCAGCATTCTCCACCACCTTGTGGTGACCCACTTTTCTCACCGTTCTCAGCTTGCCCTTTCTTTCTCGACCCCCCTCAGTTTCGGGGTTCACTACATTTTATCTTCGCCTCTCCGGTTTATCGCCCGTAGGTACTACTGTGCCCACCATATAGATGTGATTTACGGGGCGAAAGGCGGTATAATTCTGGGGTGTATCTAATAGTATCTATGGCCGATATGTCTCTGTCTATTTCCATTACGCAATGCATACCTTAATGTCTCCGGGGGTGACGGGTAATGGATTAAGTCCTGAAAGCTGGGTATAAGAACACCCCCGGGGCATCACTGAAATGAATAGAGAATATTTACAACATTCTGATTAGTTTGAGGGTTATCCCTCCTACGTGGCGTGGGTGGTTGGCGGGTGCTGTGGTGCTGTTTGCTCCTTCTTTCCTATCAAGCATCTATTGTACTTATCTCTCCTCCTTTTTTGTTGGTAGCACCTCTTAACTTCGGCACTTATAGGACCATATTGTGTTGCAGGTGCCGTAAAACTTTTAATAAAGCCAAAAACGTCCCCCATGTGGGTTTACCTATTTGTTTTCTTTTTAGTGGATGTTTGTTTGCCCCCCCCCCTCTCT